CATGCTCAAAATTAAGTACTATATAAAACTAGGCACAAAAACATTCCATATTTAGGGTGCTGGCATCAGCTGCCATATAATGCAGAACATATTTCTGGCTGGTTTAACTTTTCATCGTATCTTGAATATCTTGCACGTGTGGCATGTTGCTGTTTATCATATGATTATGGTATTAATCACACAACAAATGTACTTTCTACCAGGGCCCTGAATTAGTCTGGAGTTTCAGGATGAGTTAGCCACTTAAGAAAATGACCCAGTTCATTTCTGTGCAGAAGTATACAACTAAAATATGGCTGCCTAGGAACCGTTACTGTCCGAAAGGGAGGTGAAAAGTTTTAGAGTGCAGGCACCAGGCCAGTTTGAAATATTCTTTAGCATTTAGGCCTCCAACCATTGCTTACGTCCTACTTAAGCACCTACTGAGACAACTAAAACTGACACCTAATTTGTGCATCCTAAATTAGCTTAGACATGATATGGACAATGAGACCTTCATACATGGCTATATGAGGCTTGATGAAAAAAATAATTATAAAGCCCAGTAACAAAGTTTAAAATTCCATTTTTATGTCATCTGAATTATGTTTTTGTGCATTTCAAATGAAATCCAAATTAATAAAGTTAAAGCCTAAACCCTAAACTTATTATCACTTAAAACATAATTGCTTTAAAAATATATGTTGTTATACCATCTGCAATAGCAGGAAAAAGTACCATATCTAGTGTAGATTCTCAATTTAACAGTTTAATGATTACGTCAACCAGGAAAAATCCAGGAAAGTCATGGCTGCTAACACTCACATCCAATATGCCTCAACCCCAAAACAAACAAATGAAGTAACCGAACCACTCTCTTGGTATGGACAAACACTTGGAGTAGCTTCAAAAGGGGAGGAGGAGCTGCTGCTTTGGAAGCCTGCAAGCAGCTATTTATTACACTGTTAGTGGTATGCGTGCATGATCCTGTAGTGATTCAAATGAGCTAAAATCACCCCATCTCCGACCCTGGATAGAGCAGAGTTAAAGCTGAAGTGGTTTTGCTGTTCTTATGTCAATATAGGCTCAGGCATACACACCACAACAGCTGATGTGCCATCCCAAGCAGCAGCTTCCTCCTCCCTTTTCGAAACTGCTCCAAGCACAGGTTTGTCTATACCTGCTGCATGTCCTTTTCAGGGCCCCAAGCCCCAGTTCTGCAGAAAACTTACATGCACGCTTAACTTTTAACATCATCAGCATTTCCATTTGATTTACATTGTTAAGTTTGTGGGTACATTCCTCCAGCATCAGAGCCATAGACAGTACTCTTAGCATTTATCCCTTCCGATACAAAAAGGTAAAAAGCTGTTGCATAAAGAGCATGTTGACTGGCCTTTTTTAACTCTGCTATTTTAAATCTCATATTTTAGAAGAGAATGGCACTTGTTAAGATAAGCACAGTTAGATAGAAGAGTTTTATGCAAGTTTGCCAGTCTGAGAATTCAGCCTCCTGACAAGAGGCATACACTACTTTCCCTTGCCTGAATCTGCTTAATAAAGAAACAGCCAGAAATTGCATGACCTCTGCCACATACTATGGGGCAACAATACTAAAGGGTGCATGCCTTAACAATGGAAGAGGACTTCTTCCTGCCATATTTTATATATCCAAGCTAGCCTGCTTTTTGGAAGACAAATGTTATTTTTTTTTTTTCAGAATTATATTAAGTAAAGTGTATGAGTCACCAAATTTGGTGCCATTTCAACATGCTTTCTGTTAACCCATGTTAAGCATGTTCTAAACCAGAGGTGGGAAAAGTCCAGTCCACAGGCTGGATTGGGCCTACAGTGGACTCCATTTCCCAACAGCCCCTGCAGTGGGATGTTCTGGCTGTCACTGCCAGACCTAACCCCACTGCCTGGGCACCCCAACCCACCTCCCTGCACCCACTGCCAGGTGTGGGACCCACATGACCAGGAAACACAGCTGGGATGGCACCACCACTGGGAGAGTGACAGGTAGGGGGGCCTGGGGCGACCCTGGGATCTTGGGGTAGTGACAATGTGGGGCCTGGGCTGGGGTAGAGAGGCAGGATCTGGTACCCACGGGTTCCATGGGTAGGGGTGTGCAGGGAGTGGATCATGACTCTGCTCTGGCCCCACCCCATGCTGTCACAGCCACAAGATCCTGCCCTAGAGCAGCTCCCCACCTAGCTGTGCACCCTGCCAACATGGCTCCTGTGGCTCTGTGAAGGCTCCATGGAGACCCCGGGAGCGCAAGGCTGCGACCGCGTGGGACCAGCCCAGGCAAGAACCCCAGTTCTGCAGCCCCACGCTGTCTTAGCCCTGTGTTCCTGGGGTCCCCATGGAGACCAGACAGGATTCACACAGGCAGGGGCTGCTGGGAAATGGCGTCTGTCTTTTTGCCCACCCCTGTTTTACACCCAATTTACTTTGGTTTTCTCTGCTACTCCATAGCATTTTATATGCAATAGAAAGTTTTAAAAACAAGCTAAAAGCCATCTGGCAATGCTCTGAATTGTGACAGTCCCCTATATAAACCAAACTGTCCTTCCAGAGAAGAAGTATATATAGACAGATGGGAAGATTTCTTCTTTGATAATTGAGAGACAGTCAACATACCTGGAAGGGCAAGCTGGTTTATATAGGGGACTGTCTCAATTCAAAACATTGCTATACTTTTTTTTATTTGTTTTTATATCTTGTTTGTTTATGAAATGTTATTTCTGCGCACACGTTTTAATAATGTAGCATATCTGGACAGCCGGAGTGAGACAGACTAAGAAATCAAATTGTTGAAGCCCATTCAAGTAGTAGGACTCTGGCTTACCTCTACTTATGTATTAACAAACATGACATAATAATGGATTTATTTGAAAATAATTATAATCCTTCCTTCCCGTTATTAGCTTTTGATATAGCAGTACTACAAGAACTAACTGCCTGAGCATCTGGTGGCAGTATATTCGTAATTGTTTAGCCAGTTCAATGCCTTAGTACACTTGGGGGTGAGAAGGGAGAAAAGGAAGAAGGGAGGGAGGGACAAAGATGGCATAGCTCTTAATATTTTAAAAAATACTGTGTCTGGTTTTAAGAACTCTTGGGACATAAGGTGACCAGGGCTACAATGCTGTCAGTTTCATAATTTATTAATAATTAGGGAGTAAAAGCACTTCCACTGTAAGAAGCAAAGGATAAGTCTATTCTATTTGCTAGTCTCTAGCTGAGTCTACCACATTAAAATATGTATTACTTCTGTCTACCTGTCACTTTTTGTAACATGCTTAAATGAACTGATCTGCAAGCCAGAGTTCAAACTACAGCAGGATCAGATGGGCTTTTAGAGAAAACTTATAAACAGCCATCAGCTACCCTTGAATACGCTAGCAAATGTACCCTTTCTGAATGGTAATATTCAACCCTTGTTGAAACAAGGATTAGAAGGGTGAATAAAGATGGACTTCAAGTTATTCCATTTGTGTTACAAATCAACATACTAAGCCCTGAAAATAGAAAAGAAAAAGAAAACAGTCAATCAAGGATTTTTTTCTTCTTGCTCTCTTTTCCAAGACCAATATGTTATGATTTTGAGTTCTTACTTTTATTGTGTGCTACAAAAAATCGTCAGATGCAGTGTAGGTGACCTTACAAAGAAGGTCACATCATTACAGTGATTACAATTTTGAACACCAAGCATGGTAGAATTAGTGCACTCTCACTGTACTAAGAGAGAAGCTTAGAAAAATTCAGGAAGTCAAGCAAGAGGACCGTCCTATGCATTTTCCAGGAGAGGGGTTCAGAACAAGGCAAGGCAAGAGGGGCAAAAAAAAATCACGCTAGAGTATGCAACACTAATTAGAGTCTACAATCTTTCCACTGCTACAAAACAACCACACAGGAGGCTTAGGAACTTGTATACCCTGGGGCTACATTAGCAGCTATAGGCTTGGCTGCTTTTTCATACAGACGGAGAATCTTTTCCTTCTAGTCCCTGCTTCCAGTAATAAAATATCTTAAGTGGACAGGAGACCTTAAGAAACAATTGGCCAAAAGATTCACAGTTTCTCTGAAAAGTGCAGTGGGAAGGGTAATATTTGTTATCCCCAGCAACTGTGTCATTTGGGTGAAATGCCAAGTAACTGTCTGATGCACGCTCTCATGAAACTATGCCAGTAAGCTGGCACACCACTTGCTAGACAGTGCCCGGCATTCAAAAGATTCTTCTGCTGAAAGCTTACAGAAAGGTTACCTCATGCTGACATAACTATATGCTAGTGTGGATTCAGATGTTTGCAAGTTCTTAAAAGGAAAAGCAGCTTGAGAATTTTTAAGGGTATGGACAGAATACCTGTATAATCCAAATTCATTAATATAGATAAAATGAGAATAAGTTGAATCCAGACAACTTATTACCATCAGAACTACAACTGTAATCAACATAATTTTCTAAGTAGAAAGAAAAGAGAATTAAGAAAAAAATCTGCCTAAGCAAGCAAGCAAAACCACAACAAAACAGAACAAAACTAAAATACACACATAGATATACCTGTATATCCTATACACACCAAGATATACACACACCAGAAAACAAAGTAAATAAAAACCTGTGGACTTGGGACTCTTTCCTATTTTAAGACCGATTCCTACTATTTTAAATTCTAGTACAAATAGATTGCATTGCCAATAGGGGAAGGAAGGAAGGAAGGGAGAAAACAAGGCTCACTTTTCTAAGCATCACTTGACTTAGATTAATATATCTGCTGGCATAAGAACATACAATTCTTTCTTTAAGAAAGAGGTTGAAGTGTAAAACTTTTCACCCTACTCAAGAGTGCACTGTATTTGTTTGCTTTTGTTCATTCACACTTCAGAAAGACAGGAAATTCCTGTGGTGAATTCTTGTCCAGCATTTTAAATACCAAGTAAAGTGCTTTCTTTCCATTGCCAGACAGTTCACTAAGGCATATAAGCACTTTAAGAAAGAGAGGTGTAAATACCGTTGTCCTTTTCTGTCCAGTGGAAAGCAGTTGCTCTAGACCCATTGCCAACAATCACTCATTGTTGCAATACTGCTTTAGTTTTGGATATGCACCAAGATCCTACAATCCTTACTCACACGAGTAGTTTCTGGGCAGAGAGGACAAATCTGTTAGCATAAGAGGTGCAGGAAGAGTCAGCTACGCGGCTACAAAAGCTAACTGCTGTAGCTACAAGTACAATACAGAAGTATGAAAACTGTAACAAAAATCTTTTTCTACAAGTCAATTTGACTGAATATTATGTGCTAGCTGTATATTTAATATCATTATTTATTTTGAATGATCTAAAGAGGAAGATTATTCGTCATGTTGCAACAACATAATTATTAATACCCAGACTCTTATAAATCACATTGTTTATGGCTCCTGGAGGTGGACTGGTTCTTTTTCAGTTAAAATATATATATTTTAACCAAACAAAAAAGTGCAATTTTAAAATATATTTTAAAAAACAAACAACGATTACGTGTGGCATCTCTACTATACAATTTCTACATTAGTTGAAGGAATAAAAGTTTTCACATCAAGGTATTAAGGTCACTGTAACAGATCTAAATGGAGAGGCAGTAGGTCTGTTATGTTGCTCATTGAATCTAACAACTGAAAACATAACATATATGTTATTTACCAAAAAAACCCACGTACATAAACCATTTTTTCCAAAAATAAGCAGCTGGAAATTGTGGTGCATCTTAAATGAGGAAGTGTGGGGAGCAGAGGGTCTGATCCTGGTGAAGCTGAACTGCCCAGCCCTGCTTTTTGAGCTAGGCAGACATCACATCCTGCAAAGAGCAACCACAGGTTTTTGCCCCTCCCCTACTGCAGCTACTGTGAAAAATACCATACTTGCTGGTATTTGCAAAGAAATACTATAATTTACTCCAATACAAGTTGAGGCTAAAGAAACTGGAGGGTAAGATGCTGGCCCGTGGTAACACCACATACACCTGAATGACTAGAGCTCAGTGGATAGAATTTGGAACTGATCTGACTAATTTGGCGTGAGACACAAAATTAAAAAAACCAAACAAATAAAACATGGGTGCCAAAGTGTTGCTCAAAAGTGTGTTTATGGAGTACCTGTGCTAAAATGTGCAGAAGTTTCAAAAAAGATAACATGTATCAGTTCTGGATAAACCAAGTGTATGGGTACTATAAGCAAATTCCTACAGACATGTTGAATTTCAAGTCTATTGTTTTCAAAATTTGCTCCCCAGTTTCATTTGCTCAGAGAGATCAGCGTCTGACAGTAAAGAAAAGGGGAAGAGGCTGCCAGGGGAAAAAGCTGGGGTAAAGCAGAGAGCAAAGAGGGGCTCCCTAACCCCCACTTATTTTCCCTGCTGTAGCAGTGGGAGGGGGACAAATTCAACGCAAACCTCCAATGATTAGATTCTACACTTGACAAATTATGACACATTTATAAATCTTCCATATATAAAATCTAATTATCGTAGGGATTGTTTTATAATCAGGATAATCTTGTATTCAAGTAAATACAGTATATTTTCTCTTCATTCCACCTTTCAAGAACAAGGTGCATGTCTTATTCAGGGACATGTGTTATATAAGAAAATACAGTATAACATCCCTTTTACTGCCCTCAATCTTTACTGCATTAGTAAAAAAAATCCTAAATAAATAACTGCTTCAAGTCTATCATAACCACTCACCAAAATTAAATAACCTTCTCCCCTTCTCCTGAAAGAATCAGCCATGGTGATTAAAGTATATTAAATAAATAACTTGCCTCTTTAAAAACAAAAGTTGTACTATTGTGGATTGCCGCCCCACCCCAGCAAAACCCATTCTGGGACAAGATGCAATTAAGCAGTGAAAAATAAGATGAATTTCAAGACAGGCCAAATATTTTTTTTAAGAATTAACCCCAGCCCCCAAGAAAAATGACACTAAGAATATTGACCCAGCCTTAGCTGCAAAATGGTGCTAGTGACTGCTATTATTAGCAGCAGGGGGATTTTCCAAGCCATATGCTGCCAAAGGCAGAGGAGTTTGAAATGTCCAAATTCTAACCTTTACGCAAATTCCCAGCACAACTGCAATTATAATTAGTGTTTCAGTAACCAAATTCTGAAGGGCAGAATACTTGTCTTCTAGCTTGTGTTTATCCCTGCACACATGCAGGTGCTGTCATGTAGTTCCCTGCTTTACTCTCACAGAGGGAGTAAACCATGACCTAGTTGTAAAAGGAACACGTGTATTTTTCTCTTACATACATACCTTACTGTGCCTAAACTAATAAAATGATTTTGCAGGAATCAGCTGCATACATCAATAACTAAACAAGCAAGGCTTTTAAAATGTTTAAAGCAAACATATATTGAACACTAGCCTTCATTTTTATTCTATGTGTACTTTCCCACTTGGGGGCCTAGGGCAAACAGCTGTCATTAACATCCACCCCTTCTGCTAACACTTTCCTTAATCTCTGAAGGGCTTCCCAGTCTATAATTAAACTTTCCAGCTGCCACCCTCAGAGATGACACCAGTACACATCACTTGTTTCACAGTGTTCCCTAAAAAAACCCTTTTTGTAATGTCCAAGACAATGCACTGGAACCCCATCCCAATTCATATTTGGTGCCAACTATTCTCATTTCCCCCCCCTCAAAGTGATGTTAACTTTTCCTAAGAAATGTGAGCGTTTCTTTCTTCCTTAAAAAAAAAAAAAAAAAAAAAACACACACCCCAAAAGTGAATTATTAATAAGCAAAGTACAAAAAAACTGAAAAAAGGTGCATGAAAGTGAATAAATTCTTCCATGTGGTGCGTGGTGAAATAGGCTGGAAAGAACTGTCCATCTACAGTCACTTCCAAAAACGTTCAGTTTAAAGCCCAAAACTGCCTCTAGACATACCAGAGATCTAGAAGGATATTCTTCAGAAAGTAAAGAGAAACCAAACATCTCATTTTGCCTTAGCAAGAAACTTCCAATTCAGTCAGATCCTGCACACCAACACCTGGAAAGACTGCTTTTCACAGTTGTGTAAAGATCCTGTCTTCTTAGCAGAGATGAGCATATTTGCTTGATATGGAGCCAATTTGAACAGTCTGCCTCAACATTTTGACTTAATACAACATGAGTGGTTTCACAAATGGAGAGAAAGAGAGAAATGTGCTTTGTTTATACACCCATAAGTAATCAACCTCCAACTTGTTACAGCTTAGCTTGCTGGTGAGGAGTGGCAAGCTTTCCCTTGCCTTTTCACAGCACGTACTTCTGAAGAAAAACTATTCCAGCAATTCATAGATAAAACACTCCACAAGCTCAAGTTCATTTTGTGAAAATACAGACTGAAGAGTTTGTTAAAGTTCAGCCACCCCTGCATGGTGGAAATTAGCCTAGGCAATATCATTTATGTATTCCACGCAGACAGCCCAACAGGACACTTGGTGCATTATCACTTTCAAAATACAAATAAACAGCATTTGCTCTACTATCAAAGTGTTGCCATTACCAGTATCATGCGGGTGCCATTCATAACTGGAACTGGCAAATGTCCATTAAGCATCCCAATAATGTTATTTAGCCCGAAGCGCTTGCGCAGTCTGTTGATGGAAGATACCGCAACATTCCATGTCAGTTGCTCCCTCTTGAAACGCCTCCTCTTAAAATGTTTAGAGGTCACCATATGATATGCTTTGGCTTTATGTTTTGCCCAGTGTGTTAAAGATAAACTGAACACTTTGATCTAGCTTTCATACGGCTGAAAATACAAAATGGTTGAGGAGATTAAGGCTGCACCCTTTCTTTGAGTTATCTGCTCTTTAAACAAGGGGAAGAGGGCACAGGGAGGAATGAATTAACTTTCAATTTAGTCCATTGCTGAGGCTGTCTATTTTCTTTTTGTTCCTGTAAAATGCCTCATACTATGAATGCCATGGAATATTTTATAAAAGTTACACGCTCACTCTTAACCTTAATGATTAAATACATTTTCATCTGCAGTGAGCTAGGTTTTTTTGTTTGTTTGTTTTAAGTAGACTACTAAAAAAAAAGTTGTGCTTTAGGCATCTCAGGCTAATAAAAAAAAAAAAAAGGAAAAAAAAAAGCTCTTTTCAGGTACAGTGTACAAGACATAAGCCTAGGGCTACCATATATCCAGGTTTTCTTGGACATTTCCTCTTTTTGAGTCCTCTGATCTCCATCCGGGCAATTTTTTTAAATCTGAACCAATGTC